TTAATGAGGAAAAAAAATTAACTTAAATGATTTTAGCAAATGGCTGCAATATAACAAAGAGTGAAAAATTTAAGGGGGTCTGAATACTTTCCGTACCCACTGTATAGCCGAGTAAATGACATTTTTCACATTATAGATGAAATTCTCCTTGAGTGATCTATTTCTAGTTGAAGGTTAATGTGGATCAAAGGACCATATTCTGCTCATTATTTTCTGAAATGCTAATCGCATCAGTTACGTAAATGTCAAGCGACTGCTGTGTAGTTCCTGAGGCACTGACCATGGGTTTATTGTAGAAAGGGAATCCCTGAAGCTGTCTGAGGGCATTGGTGGCTGCAGAAAGCTCTTTGAAGATAACAAACGCCTGACCCCTCATCTTCATGGTCTTCATTGCAACAATGTCCATAACCTGGCCGAACTGGGAGAATAAGGCGTACAGTGATCTCTTCAACTCTGTAGAAAAGATCCAGAGGGAAAAAAACAAGCTTTACAGAAATGCAGATTCTGTGCTCAAACATAGTCAATGCTGTTTCGCTCATCTCCACTATAAACTACAGACTTTACCTTCTTTCTTGATCTTATCATTAACATTGTTGATATAGATGGTGTGATTCGGTCGTATGTCCATGATTAATAATTTCAGGTCAAACCACACTGAAATAAAGAGAAAAGGCACAGTAAGCAGTAAATGTCAGCAACTAACGTTACACAATGACAAAACACACTTAGGCCTGGTTTCACAGACAGGGCTTAGACTAAACCAGGACTAGGCAACAGTTCAATTAGGACATTTAAGTAATTTTTATTAACGTGCCTTAGAAAAAACATTACTGGTGTGCATTTTGAGACAAAACAGAAGCACTGATAAATTTTAAGATCAGTCAGTGCAAGTTTCTTTCAGTTAAAGCAGCTCAGATTTACACTTTAGTCTGGGACTAGGCTTAAGCCTCGTCTGTGAAACCGGGGGTTAGTGTCTTCTATTTAGTATTTCTACTAGTACAAACTAGCTTTAATATCGCAGAGTGCTGCTTTGCTAAATTATAAAGGTAAAATAATTTATTAAACATTAATATAACAATAAAACGGAATAAATTTTTATTTATTACACTCACCACACTGCTGAGCTCAAGCGGAAACTGCCGCTGCGCTTCTTCTTTTCGTTTATCGTTGTGAAACAGTTGCCGCTTGTTACGCCACCTGCTGTCGCGGAGGGATATAAACATTGCGTCTAAAAACACAAGAGCGGAGGTTTTATAAAAACTTAGCCTCATCACACAGGTTTGATAGTCTGGACTGCAGGTTTGAAATGCTTAAAAACAAGCAACCCTACAAATACTTTAAGATAAATATAAGAGTGGTTGCTAGGCAGTTTTCAGTTAGACTGACATATATAGATTATGGTTGAGAATTATAATTAAGAATCACTAATATTCTGGTCTGATTTTGTACCACCTTATTTAAAATCTAAGACACGTTCAAAAAGATATGAAAATATTTTATTTGTTTTACATCCAGAAATGAACAAAACACACAAGAGAATATAATACACTCAGCTGGCTCATGCACAGTTCATTATTTGCGATAATGAACATATCCAGTTCATATGTTAGACATATCCAGCTGACATGTATTTTGTGATATGCTGACCGCCGCTCTCATTCATCGACAGTGTTTGTGTTCAGAGTGTGTTGATGCGTTGTAGCTTGCGCTCAGTGAAAAAGCGGTGTGTGTCTCGTGTGTGTGTGAGCTCAGACGGCTTGCTGTGACTGAAATACGACAGCATTGAGGTGTTATTCTGACGAGCAGCAGATTTTTCTCCATCTTCCTCATCATCATCCCTACAAACAAACAAATAAACAAATGCATTTAATATTCCAAGCAAAAATGCACAAGTACTAACATGATCGAAGAGAATTAAAAAAAATTGTATGCTGCACATTTTTGTATACACACTCTAAAAAATGCTGGGTTAAATACAACCCCAGTGCTGGGTAAAATAGGGACAAACCCAGCAATTGGGTTGTTTTGACCCAGCGGTTGGGTTACTACCCAGAAGTTAAACATTTAACCCAACCGCTGGGTCAAAACAGCCCAATAGCTGGGTTTGTCCCTATTTTGTATTTAACCCAGCATTTTTAGAGTGTAGCAACATATGTGTATGCACTAAAAAAAAGAAACTGCAGCCCGAGTCTATTCTGAATATGAAAAGGCAGCGCCCTCTGCTGTCAGACTCACCAGTGAACAGCAACAGCTTTACTGTCTGTGAGCGTCCGTGCTGTGCTCCAGCTGAACCTCACAAACTGAGGATAACCAAACACTGGGTCCAGATACTTCAGCAGCCAGCTCTTAGTTTTGGGATCTAAATGAAGACACAGCACATAATATATATATATATTTTTACATAATATTTATTTTTAGCAAAGTAAAATTCTGTTAAAATGTTTGGGGTCAGTAAGATTTTTAAATGTTTTTGAAATAAGTCTCTTATGTTCAACAAGGCTGCATTTACTTGATCAAAAATTCTGTAAAAACAGTAATATTTTGAAATATTATTACAATTTAAAATAACCATTTTCTATGTTAATATATTTTAAACTTTAATTTATTTCTGTGATGCAAAGCTGAATTTTCAGCATCATTACTCGGTCTTCAGTGTCACATGATCCTTCAGATATCACTCGAATATGCCGATTTGCTGCTCAAGAAACATTTCTGATTATGTTGAAAACAGTTGTGCTGCTTAGTATTTTTGTGGAGACTTTTTTAAAATCCTTTGGTGAATAGAAAGTTCAGCATTTATTTGAAATAGATTTTTTTGTAACATTATAAAATATCTTTACTGTCATTTTTTTATCAAATTAATGCATTTTTGCTGACTAAAAGTTTAATCATAAAAAAAAAACAAAAAAACTTACTGACCTCAAACTTTTGAACAGTAGCATATATGTGCCAGAAAAACACTTTTATGGAAATGGAAGGAATCTCATGATATAAACTGACCATTAGGATACCCAGAGCCATAATCGGTGTCCACTTCACCCAAATCTTCTGCAAATTTCCAGGATTTCACAGCATGGTCTCTTGCCACCTACAGAGAGAACAAATTAGTCAAAAATCTAATCAAATCATATCATATGCATAAATCATTAGCAGGTTTTTCCTCTAACAACTGATATTCCCATTACATCATCCACCTCCAAAGGAACTATTACCTTGGCACAGATGCTGGCAGCGCTGACGATGGGGAAGAGAGAATCAGCTTTGGGACGGACGGTGACCTCCACCCCGAGGAACCGCTGGGAGAGCTTCTCCTGATACTTCTCTGCAGGACCCACGGTATCCACAAACACCTGAGAGGTATGAAAGACACGTCATGACGGCTTCACCACCAGTCCTTGCTGTCTATCATACGGGGATTGGTTTGTACCTCTTTGAGCTGCACCCCACAGTCCAGGGTGTACTGCACCAGACCAATAGCAGCATCATGTGACAGGGCATTCAGATTGTATTTTGTTCTGAAAATAAAAGGACAACAGGTTAAAAAAATTATTTCGACTCAAAGTACCAGTGAAATGCATGTACCTTTGCAGCATGCTGGTGGAAATGGTGTTCGGCGAGAGGATCTGAAGGGCCCAGCCTACAAAACCTTTAGACTCATCGAGCTTCAGAAACAGATTCTCTCTCTCTGCCTCCGTCAGCGTCTTTGAATCTAAACATGCAACAAAAATACTGCAGATTTCCAGCGAATCTGAACTCCTGTCAAGATTTGCTCTGTAACCAACCTGCCACTTTCAAATTCTTCAGGTCTTCCTTTTTGGATACAGGACAGAAGCATATCCCATACACCATGGGTCCTAAAATACAGCATATCAAATTTATACTCCAATTTCAATTTTTTTTTAAATAAATGGCATTGTCCAATGAGGAAGACACTCACCCAGTACGGGACCCCTGCCCGCCTCATCGATGCCCAGGCAGCAGTCCTCTGTCTTACACACGTCCGGGATGGACGAGGACAAGCGGCAGCTCACAGAGTTATCTGCCTCAAACTTGCTCAGATCCATGTCTGATCATTTGGATAAAAAAATTTGGATAAAATTAAATTTATTTATTTATTTTTTTTTACAAAATATATCACGAGTAAGTAAACATAGGTATGAATTTTAAGCTTAATTTAAGCTTTACAAAAATGCATATCACAGAAATTATTTTAAAAATATCAATAATAATATTACAAATAATAATAAATAAAAAATAAATAAATTAAGCTTCAAGCTAACAACCCACTAAAATTTTGCTCTATAATTCCATCCTTTATGGAAATAAATAAGTAACAAAAGATTTTTGCAATATTAAAAAAGCTTTCCATTGCAAACAGATGTTGTACTTTTGAACTTTATCTTCATCAAAGGATTTAAAAAAAAAAAAAAAAAAAACATTAATCAGCACATATCTTGCTATTGTGCAAATAATCAAGTTATATTGAACAGTATTCGACCAGAGCATATTTCTAAACATATAAAAACATATCCTTTAATCACAACACACGTATTATTATTCCCATATAACATGCAAAATGTAAAAGGCACTTCTACAACAACAACACATTTCCTCCAGCATCTGATACTGAGATCAATCAATAATACGAGATCATACAGATAATTTACAGTCAAAATAATACGAACAATGAGTGGAGAGAGCGTGGGGTTTATTCACTATTATTAACTAACTAACAGGGAATTCAAAGCATCATAAAACACTGTGCTTGAAATTTGCTGCATAAACAAACTTACACGAACCTTCTTCTTCTTCTTCTTTGGTGTTTATTGGCGGTTGGCAAACCAACTTGTCTTACACGAACCTGTGTGAGGCTGTGAGCTCGGCCTCAACCGGAAATACAGAATTGGCGCGAGTGTGACAGTCAGAACAGCGTGACCTTTGACCGACAATACTTTTTTAGTACTTAATTGTAATTAAGACACACACTGAAACATTCTTACAAATACAGTTAATTCCTAAAACCATGCGGCGAACGCGTTTAAATGTGCGCCCCCCCCCCCAACTCTCCATCGCAGTGCTTTGTGGGAAATGGAGTTCGGGGAACGTTTACACACAAAAACACGAATAGGGAGGTAAGCAATAAATTATAATAAAATGTCATTGATGAAGTAGAAACGTCAAGTCTTGAGGTCACATGCAAAACTGTATGCAATGTTCGGTTTGTGCGCCTGTTCTCATGTCGTGTATGTAAAACCTGGCTAAAATAATGAATAGATTTAGAATCTACTTTTCATTTTTCTGTTAGTAGACTATAGAAAGAAAAAAAAACCTACATGTATTGTTTTTTAAAATGTTGCCTGATCTATAATCTATCATAAAACTACATGCAAAATATGATTTGAACGAAATACATAAAGTACAAAGCAGAGAGGCGTGGCTCCTCCTCTCTCTCGTCTCGTGAGTTTTGCAGCAGGTCTCGCGGCTGGAGCTTCCTGTGCATCAAGGGAAAGTGAAGTTTCGCATCCGCGTTCAGAACAGGTACGGGTTCAATGCGGACATATTGCTTGCCTATAATCTTAAGGGTTATTTACATGCACAAATGCTAAATGAATATTTTTGCAGATTATTACTAAACAAAAGAGCGCGTGGAAAACGCCTTTGCTGTTTTTGCATGTTCATATTTTAATAACTGTTTGACATATCTTAACGCATTTAAATGTATTTATTGTGTCATACTGTAAATCTGAGTTATTTCCACTGTTGTTGTTCTCGCAGTATCACACTCCACTGATCTGGCTTAGCTCGCGTGGCTAAGCGGCTAAATAACTCTCTGAATATATTACTCGTTTTAATGTCGACTCTGTCAAGTATGCATCATATGCATATCATGTTTGCCACGCTTCCAGACACTGTATATCATAAGTGAACGGGCCTCGTACCAGTTATAGCAAAGACCTATGTTAGCGTACTCGTCTCGGCCTTCTCTAAGTTAACCCGTTTTCATCTTTTTTCCTGCAGTTTGCAGGGCAAAGTCTCGGAGGGTCGTTGACCATTCATGTATTTTCTAGGGGTGGATACTATCAGCTTTTTGCAGAGATACTGAGCTGACAGTCGCTATCAGTGTGTGCAGTGTAATCGACCTGAGCCAAGTTCACTTATAAAACGTGTTAAAGTCCCTCTTTTAAGGGTAGAAAGCACTAAAATGCTCATGCATTTGGTCTGAAGCTGAACTGAGATGATGACTTGGGTAATATTTTGAGGCAAATATTTTATTTATTTATTTAGTCATTTATCAGACGCTTTTATCAAACATGCTAAAAAACAACAACTTACTTACACATAGTAAGAAATGGTTATAAAACTGAAACAGAAGCGAAACAAGTAATAGGAATATATAAATAAATAAATATAATTTGGTAAATGACTTGAAGGCATAACTGACGCAAAAATGAAAACACTCATCGTTTATGCACGCTAAATTTGTTCCACATCTGTATGAGTTTTTTTCTTCTGGTGATAGAATGTTGGTAACCAAAAAGTTTCTGGTTCCCATTCACTTTGTATTTTTTCCATACTTTGGAAGTCATTGGAGACCTTCAACTGTTCTTCAAAATATGTTTTTATGTTCATCAGAAGAAAGAAACTCATACAGGTTTGGAACAACTTTGACCGCTTTACACATAAATTCAATAATTTTGCTATTTATTCTATGTTTTTGTCTGCTGTCCTGGTTCCACACACACACACAAAAAAAAAAAGATTTTTTTTTTAAAGTGTCAAAAAAAAAAAAAGTAAATTAATGCAATTACTTTGAAAAGTTTTTAGTTTGTAATAAAATGTGTGGTGGAAGTAGTAGTAGCAGGAACAACAACAACAATAATACTAATATGTTTGATGTTCTTGAATATTTTTTGGTCACCAGTGACAAGCAATCTTCAACATGTCTTCTGGAAACGCTAAGATCGGTCAGCCTGCTCCTCAGTTCAAGGCCACAGCTGTGGTAGACGGACAGTTTAAAGATATTCAGCTCTCTGACTACAGAGGTGAGCATCAGACACTCCATGCGAGGTGTTTTGCAGATTAGAACGAGAGTATTCTAAATGTCAATCTAACCTACTTTTGCTTTCCATTGCATCATCATGATACTAGCCATCAAACACCACCTGTTTCTTATTGAACTCTGCTAACCACTAACTGGGTTACAACTGTAACCTGTTTTTCACTTCATCTTTATTTTCCCTCCATTTCTTCTGTAGGGAAGTATGTCGTGTTGTTCTTCTATCCACTTGATTTCACCTTTGTGTGTCCCACCGAGATTATCGCGTTCAGTGAACGGGCCGCTGAGCTCCGTAAAATCGGCTGCGAGGTCATCGCTGCTTCCACCGACTCTCATTTCAGCCATTTGGCATGGTGAGGATTCTGCTTTTATTCCTACGTCTTCTACAGCTAAAGGGTTCTTACTGGCCACTTCAGAGCAGAATCTATATTGGATATCGTTAAAATGTTGTAATATATCAAGCACCTTTATTATAGTAGCTAATTTATTATAGATCAATAGTGCCAGTGGTCAAACATTGTACATTAGATTTCACTGTTGGTTTTTCTCTTGCTTGTGAACGTGATTCTTAGCAGGCTTTCTATGGTTTCACCCAGTTAGTGGTTATCTTCTATGTTCTCCTAAACAGCCTGGCTTTGATAAGAGCTACTATAGTGTGTTAGAGAGGCACAGATAAGGAAGGGTGTAGTGCTTTATTAGTTCTAGAAATTGTCACCTTAAGTCGTATTGACTTTTATTTAGAGAGCATTAATAATTACACTTAAAAAATAAAATTAAAAATGAGTTTTTAGGTTTAAAAAAAACAGACTTTTCTAATAATAGTAATAAAATAATTTGAGGTTATTTTGAAAACCTAGACGTTTCTAAGTGTAATAATAATAAATTAAAAAGAAAACCTTTTAGGTTTTAAAAATCCAGACTTTTCTAAGAGGAAGAATGAAATTAAATTATTTTAATCATTTTTAATTAATTAATTCGTTGATTAATTTCTATGTTTTAAAAACCCAGACTTTTCTAAGATACATAATAAATAATAAAAAACTGTAGGTTTTAAAAATCCAGATTTTTCTAAATAAATGCATATTTAATATATATTAAAAATATTAATATATTTATATATTAAATATGAATATATTTATATCATTCTATATCTGTATTTAGCATTTTGCTGGAAATTCCGTGAAAAAGTTACATCTGAAATAACCATGAGGTATAACCATGTCTATGAAACTATAATCCAGTGAATTAAACACTTTATAAATCAAGCTCCTGTGACATGACTGTTGGCTTGTTCCCGATAGGATCAACACACCCAGGAAGCAGGGTGGCCTCGGCTCCATGAACATCCCGCTGGTGGCTGACCTGACTCAGTCCATCTCCCGCGATTACGGCATCCTGAAAGAGGATGAAGGCATCGCCTACAGGTCTGTGACGATGTGCTCATGTTTGCACTGGTTCAGTTAAACTACAACTACTTAAGCCCTCTTGCTTGCCGTGTATGATTGCAGCAGGAGATAATGATCAAGTGTGCTCGATAACGTCCACGTGTTCTGCAGTGCAGGCAGGGTACAGGAACCATGAGAAAAAAATTAACTGTTTGTTAAAAGGGTTTTATTGCACATTGGAATTTTCGATCAAAATGTTCAGTCGCTGATTTTAAATGTGTGTTCCTGGTTCAAAGTTAAGCATTTGACAAAGTGTTGACACACAGTAGTTCAAAAAGCTTTATTCTGTGATTATATTATATTATACTCTTCAGAAGTTTAGAATTTAAATGAACTATTTTATATTTGAATATATATTTTAAAATGTAATTTATTCCTGTGATATACAGCTGAATTTTCAGCATCATTACTCCAGTCTTGAGTGTCACATGATCCTTCAGAAATCATTCTAATATGCTGATTTGCTGCTTATGAAACATTGATTATTATCACCGTTGAAAACAGTTGTGCTGCTTCATATTTTTGTGGAAACCGCAATGCATATTTTTTTTTTTTTAGATTTTTCTGATAAATAGAAAGTTCAAAAGAACAGCATTTATTTAAAATGCAAACCTTTTGTAACAGTATAAATGTCTTTATTGTCACTTTCGGTCAATTTCATACGTCCTTGCTGAATAAAATAATTTATTTCTTTAAAAAAATAATACAAATCTTACGGTCCCCATACATTTTTGTTTATGAAAATAATATATACACTGTATATGAGCTGCAAATTTGCCGCAAGTCGTTTTCCTTTTTGAAGTAAAGTGGGGATACTTTCAATTATTTATTTACTTGTTACTTTAACTGAGGAACCTTTTTTTTCTCTCTTTTTTTTAGTAATCAACATTCAATGAATTCTTAGTGCTTAACTTGAATTGCAGCTAAAACATTGCTTTAATGGTGAAAAACAAATTTTAACAGCGGTCATACAGATTTTATTGTGAACAGAATAAATTGCCGTACAAACAGTAAGTTTTCTGTGTCTTGTCCTGCTCCCGCAGAGGTCTGTTTGTGATTGACGATAAAGGCATCTTGAGGCAGATCACCATCAATGACCTGCCGGTGGGTCGCTCGGTAGACGAGACGCAGAGACTGGTGCAGGCCTTCCAGCACACTGACAAATATGGAGAAGGTGAGTGAAACGGGGCTCTTTCTGAATGTCCTGTTTATCTTGAGTGGACCGCATGTGTAAACCATGCTCTAAAATGCTTTGTGATCCGATCACTCAAAGCACATTTGGAGGTAGTCAAAGACATGTGACCACATTGTATTTGTATTGTAAACACAGATGCATCCTGATGCCAACAAAGAGATGTTTACTTGCATAACACAAAATTATACCGCCAAAATTAGGGTTTTAAGCCCATACTTGTACTATTTTTTTTTAACTTAGTCACATTACAGCTGTTCCAGGTGACATCCTGGTGATTTACCACAGAAAACAATTGACTCGTCCTTCAGTTTGGGGTTATCAAAATTTTGTTTTTTTCACTAAGCAAGGATGCATGAAATTGATTGAAATGACAGTAAAGACATTTTACAAAGACGATTTCTATTTCATTTTCCTCTTAACATTTTATCAAAGAATCCTAAAAATGTATTATATTTGTCCACAAGTACAGGAGGCAGCAACTGTTTTCAACATTGATAATAATAATGACTGTTTCTTGAGCATCAAATCGGCATATTAGAATGATTTCTGAAGGATCATGTGACACTGAAGACTGAAGTAATGATGCTGAAAATTCAGCTTTGCATCACAGAAATAAATTACATTTTAAAATATTTTCGAATAAAAAACGGTCATTTTAAATTGTAATAATATTTCAGAATATTATTGTGTTTGCTGCATTTTTTATTAAATAAATGCAGCCTTGGTGAGCAGAAGAGACTTAAAATCGTACCCACCCCAAACTTTTACTGTTATTGTGTGTATTACTGTAAGTATGACCATGAAATGCTCACATAAGGTGATGCCAAAATATTCACTTTCAGTCTCCACTTTTCAGAGGTTTAAAATAACATGTCTGTCTATTCTCCGTAGTTTGTCCTGCTGGATGGAAACCAGGAAGTGACACTATTGTTCCAGATGTGCAGAAGAGCAAGGAGTTCTTCTCCAAGCAGTAACAGTCCTGTCGTATTTCCCGGATCGTGCTCCCAATAAAAAACGGTCATTTTAAATTGTAATAATATTTCAGAATATTATTGTGTTTGCTGCATTTTTTATTAAATAAATGCAGCCTTGGTGAGCAGAAGAGACTTAAAATCGTACCCACCCCAAACTTTTACTGTTATTGTGTGTATTACTGTAAGTATGTCCATGAAATGCTCACATAAGGTGATGCCAAAATATTCACTTTCAGTCTCCACTTTTCAGAGGTTTAAAATAACATGTCTGTCTATTCTCCGTAGTTTGTCCTGCTGGATGGAAACCAGGAAGTGACACTATTGTTCCAGATGTGCAGAAGAGCAAGGAGTTCTTCTCCAAGCAGTAACAGTCCTGCCGTATTTCCTGGATCGTGCTCCCGTTCAGTGGGACGCTAGAGCACTTAACCTTAGCCTGAGAGTTCTTGAAAAGTTGTCTAAGCCAACGTAACAAACTCTTTGCAGTTTAAATGCACTTGTTAGACCGATTTCTTTTCTTTTCCATTGTCTGAAGAAGCTGTTGCAGTTAGCATCTCCCATGCACTGAAATATCTGTAGTTTGTTTTCAACTCTAGTTTATCGGTATTGCATATTTAGTACTCAATGAACATTTGATTCATTTTGATAACATTTTGAAAGTTGTTTAACATTCTGGTGATCATCAATATCTGTGAAATAAACGGGCTGTTATTGTGTGACGGTGCAGTTCTCTTATTTTTACCAACCTATCTCAGCTGTTGTTGTGTTTCAGATTCATTACAAATTATGCAGTTTATGAGATTTTGACTCTGACTATAGGTTCATCCATCCAGAACTCAATAAGGAGCATGTAAACCGCTTTACCGCTCATATATTAAATAGGTTTTTACTAAATAGTGCATTTGCAATAATATGAACTGTGCATCTCTGCTTGTAATCCACCAGTGTAATTGTCCAGGCAAACTTATTTGATAATGGACCAGTGTTATTTCAGTATCATTGATACACTATTGTAGTTTTTGTTCATATTTTAAATTAGATTTTATTTTTATATTTTCTGTTTTCATTTCATTTTATAGTTTTAGTAATATTGTGTTTTAGCTTTTTTTTTTATTCGTTTTTTTTTAAATATACTTATTAATTTTTATTTAGAATATTCAGTTAGTTATTTTAGGTTAGGTTCAGTTAGTTATTTAACTTCAAGTTAAACTAAAGCAAAATGTGAAATGCAGTCTGAAGTAAATAACGAAGTTTATTTTTTAATTTTTAAAATGATTTTAGTTTTAAATAACTATAACAACACTGTAATGGACATTACCACAAATGCTTTTGGTAGAGCTCGAATTGAACCGGAACATGTTTTAAGATTGGACAAATCAGACCGGTAGGTGGCAGTATTTCATTACATTTGGGAGAAATAGCTCAGAAGCAACTTGTTCTTATGAGCCCTCGGCTGCAGTAGGCCTAGTAGAGCAAGAATAATTTGGGCCTATAATTGATTTCAAGGCAGATTTAATGTTAACTAAGCAGAGCTTGTATTCAGGACTCAAAACGTCAAGCATTTGACACTGAATTTTAAGCACTCGTTGATGTTTGATAATCTGGAACTACTTAAACCACAAGTGATTTTGCTGATCTTGCTTAATTGTTACCATGGTGTTATTTTCTACATCAAAAGGGAACGTCCTCAAGAGAACGTTTTGTTCAGAGAACATTCAAAAGTAACATTCTCATAATGTTTGTAATGATAAAATAGAATGTTTCCAGTGTTTGTATTTAAAAAAATGTTTAATAACATTTTGTCCAAATGGACGTTTTAAACGTTCAGAGAACATTCAGAAATGCGTTTTCATACTAATGAGAACGTTAGAAAAACGTTTTTAAAGCAGCACTATGTAACTTTTGGCGCTCTAGCGGTTACTAAACAGAACTGCACACATCCCGCGGAAGAACATTCCAACCGGAGCTACTTCTCTAAGTTTATTTCTATGGCGATTCACGCAGGTATGTGTTACTCCGCAGCGGTGACCAGGCTACAATAGTCCAAATATAAGTACTTATTATTATAAGAGTACCGTAGTGATTCGGAATAAGACAAAAACGCGGGTTGGAAGATGAATTCATGATATACTCGCTCATTATATACATTTAGCACATTTTGAACATAGAAAAAGTTACATAGTGCTGCCTTAAAACATGTTTGTTAGCTGAGAATGGGATTGACAACAATGTCTTTTTCCATACTGAAAAGTTTTTTTCCCCCCTGATATTTAATGTCCTTAAGTGTTAACAGATAGCCTATCATTGTGTCATCAAGCTACATTTAAAAATGTTAATATGTGTTGAGCTAGAGCTATGAATATAATGTTGATATTCTGTAAATATCTTGTTTTTAAACTAATATGATGTTTTCAAACTACGTGATGGCGACGGATGATGCTTATCCTGGGACATCACTTCAAGTCTTTTTAATAAAATAAAATGTCCACTAAAACCTAAAAATAGGCTATTACAAAATTAAATAGCCTAAACACTAGCTTTTATTTATTTGAATCAAAATGTGCTTATTTGGGTAGAATTTTGTCCTGACATGATATATGGATTTAATTCCTTTGATGTGTGATATCAAATAAAGTCACCATCTGGACTGTCTATGCCCAAGTACAATTTGCTGTAGATGCGTTTACATTCAGTAGGATGAAGATATAATTAGTTCTAATAATGTCGAAAGAATCCCTCATAAAAGTGTTGTATTTTGCGGCTGACTAAACTTAAGAAAACTGGCAACTTGTGAAAGAATAAAGCATGTCACAAAACGGGGGTCTGTGGTTTTGGCACTGGACAGTTAATCAAAACTACGGTATATTTTCCGGAAATCACTGGAAAAAGAGTCACTGTGGGCACTTCTCGTTTATAAGTCTAGCTCTTATTTACTGCGACCTGTTTTTCTATTTTGGTGCTTGTGATGGCTCTGCAAAGTACCTGGAAAATGCCCGTGTTCGTATTTTTATCTCTGGTTTTCTTTTCGCTGAAATTGTTTTGGGAAGGTTTCTGCGCGCGGGGAAAACCCCGAGTTGCTCAATTTTCACGCGTTCACACGCGCTTCATTCATTCGAACCTCCGACTTGAAAGCACGCGGACTTCTAGACCGGCAGCGTGGGCGGGGGTTCCCGCAAGTCTACCCTCAGTGACGTACGAGCGCCAAAACAGCCCATGTATGGGCTTTGCGTCAGCAGGA